AGAGGCCCCAGAATGGAATGAGGCCCAGGTCGTCTACGACGTCGATATGCCAGTCCAGGTGCCCCAGTTCGAAGGCTACTCCTGCATCAGCGGTAACCCGATTCAGGCCTGCAGGGCCTACCTCGACGGCTCCGTCAATTCAGCTGATGCTCGTGTTGCTCGTGGCGGCTGGGGGGTCGCTTTCGATTTCGACGAGTCTCCTGCTGAGGATCGTTTTCCTGGGCTTTTCGGCACCATTGACGGCCGTCAGACGGTTCCCTGTGCAGAATTGGCTGGCCTGTACTACTGTCTCCTGTACACCCAGGGGGCCCTCGAGATCTGGACCGGCAATGCCCTAGTTTACCGTGGTTGGAACTCTCGGTTGTGGCTACACCCTCAAGGTCCCCATAAGCAGTGGTGGCAGCGGATCAAGCAGGCGGCTATCCTCCAGAGGCCCGACAGGATCTCCAATGTCAGCGTGAAGAAGTGTAATTCTCATCTCGATGCCGTGAGCCTGAGTGTAGCTTCCCAGCCCTGGTTTGTAACACTAGGTAATGAACGAGCTGACGCTCTGGCCCAACGTGGCCTCGAGAAAGCCCTGAATTTGATCCAGCCTCAATAAGATTCTTTGAAAACTATGAAGCTCTCCTGCAACGGGTCCACAAGCGTCTAGCTGCTGTTGCTACGGCTGTAAACTCGCTTCCCAGGGTCAAGCACCAGCGTCCTTTGGTTGCGCGTACCCGCCGCAGGCCTGTGAAGATAGTCGCGCTTCAGCTGGAGCTCGAGCGTGCCGCGGGCCATTGTATGCAGCAGCACCCGAAGGACAATAATCGCTGGTTCTGTTTCCATTGTAAGCCTGGCCCCACGCGAGAGGCCGTCGAGAGCTGGATGCAGGCCCACCCGTGCAAAGGTAGAGCGTTTGTTTCTTGTTATAACGTGCCCCTGCCAATTCCGCCCTCTGCGTACCCCTCACTTACAGTTGGAGGTAAGATCATGCACCCGACCCATTCGATGCAAATTATGAATGGTCAGCTCTGGTGTACGAAGTGTGCGAGTCTCGGCAGCTGCACGAGCACTGGAGGTGGTAGACTCAACCAACTCCCCGTCTCTTGTCCAGGTGGTGTGGGCACTGACAGTGGACGGGGAGCGTTGCGCAGGTTGGCGAATTGCCAGCCACCGAATGTTTCGGCCAAGATTTGGCCCTCTGGGGACTCCATTAAGCCCCTTAAAGCATGCAAAGCCAAGCGTGCACGCCTGATGTAAGAGGCTCGGTCACAAGGGCCGCGGCGCGTCTCTGGCCACGACCGCGCCCCCTCGGTGGGCCGACTCCTCCTCCTCCTCCTCCCCCTCCCCCCCCTCCTCCCCCTCCTCATTTTGGCTCAAGCGTTCGCGCGGCGCCGTCGTCTCGTCGCTCCGTCGTCTCGCGTCGGGGCCTCTGCGGGATGGCTGTGCCTAGAGGGGCTCGCGCGCCGCCCGCTGCCGCCACCCTGGTGGAGGCGGCGGTCCGCGGCGCCGTCTTGGGAGGCGCCCCGCGCCGCGCCGTCGCCGCCGTGGCCCGTTCGGCCGTCTCGGCTGCGCTGTTCGCGCAGCGCGCCGAGGCGCCCGCGGTGCCGCCGCGTGACGCTGCCGCTGGAGCCGCTCCTCCCGCACCTCGTGGTGATGCTCCTCCTGATCCTGGCCCTGGCGTTGCTGGCGCGGCGGCCGCCGCCCCCGCGGCGCGAGCCGCGAAGCGGCGGCGCCGCCGCCAGCGCCGCGCGGCGAGGAAGGCGGCGGCGGGCGCGCCTGCTGCTGGCGAGGAGAAGGAGAAGATGGACGTCGAGAAGGAGGCCGCGGGAGCGGATGCTGGCGCTGCTGGTGCGGGCCTCGTGCTCGCGCAGGTGGCGGTGGCCGCCGCCGACGATGACTCCTCCGACGACGTCATGGGCGACAAGTGGGCCGATGGCCTGCATCGTGCGGTTCCCGCGGAGCCTGCCGCGGCGGCTGCTGGCGCGGCGGCCGTGGCGGGCGGAACAGGAGACGAGACGATCGCGTCCGCGATCGCGTGGTACGAGCAGGAGCTCCTGAAGCCCCTCCCCGTGGTCGTCAGGGAACGCTTCATGGCTCAGCTGGCGCGCTGTCGCGCTGGCGCCTGTGGCAGTGGCCCCTCGTGTTCGTCGTGAGGCCGTCCCTGACCGGGCAGGGAGGGGTCGCAGTGGGAGACGGTGAGGGCCTGGCCGTTTCGCGGCTGGCCCGCCGCCCCTCCCCCCTCCCTGCACATGGTGGTGCTCGTCGGCATCTGTGAGTCCGACGACGCGGTCGGGGACCTGGCACCTCAGGTGGTGACCAGGTCCCCGCGGTCGCGCCCTCTCGGCGCGCGCTTAGTTTCGCGAGACTCTTCCCCTCGGGGCTGTCCTACCTCCTCCCCCTCCTCCTCTTGGGCCCGAGGCGGGGAGTTCTCTCCATGCCCGCCGCGCGGGAGGCTGAGCTCCTCCTCCTCGGGAGGCGCCGGGGGGAGGGCGATCGGGCTCGGGCCCCCCTCTGGGGCCCGACGCAAGTCACACAGAGGTCCACCGTCCCTCTCTGGGGGTCCACCGGCGTGGGGTGGGCTCCCCTGGCGGTGGATATGGGTGCTCCGAATTTCAGGATGTGAACGGTGGATCTGAATATGGATATGGGTATGGGTATGGATATGGATATGGAGTTTCTGGATCTTCCGGATATGGATACGGATATGGAGAAGCGGGCTGGTCTGAATTGGGCTGTCTTGAAGGGTTCCAGGGGATCTGGCCAGCAGGCCGCCTTTCCATGGCTGGTCTGAGAGGGATCCACAGCTGCTCGCCCGGGAGGGCTGTGACCCCCCCCATTTGATTACAAAGTCCAGAGCACCCTTCTCCTCGCCTATGAGGGCATCCGAGGAGTCATTCGCTACGCTCCCCTCGTGTGTTCTTTTGCCGTGCCTCCCTCACCCTCCAGCTGAGGGTTGGCGGTGTCGCCGTATTAGCATTGACATTGTACTTCGCAGCTCTAGTAAGAAGGTGCGCGCGCGGCCTCCCTCCCTCGGTCGGCTATCTCATACGCGCCTACGCTAGTTACCGCATCTGCTCAACGGACACCTCAGCCACGGCGTCAAGCACATCCCTCTGCGGCTCAACTTGGGACCACGACTTCAAGTTCACCGACCTGAGCATTTAGAACAAGAGCTTCTCAACAGGATCAAGACAATGCCCGAGTCCATAATGAAAAGGCAGAGTGCTCGAGGGCTGCCCCTGGCTCGGTCTCGGCCGCGTCGCAGCCGGCCGCGGCCACGGCCGGCCCTGTCGGCTCCACCGTCGCCGCGGCTGCTGCGTCGCCGCGGCGGGTGTGGCCGGTGGCCCTCGCAGCCGTTGCCACGGGGGCCGCCCGCGGAGGATCTTTCGGAGGCCTGCCGCGGGGCTCCAGGAAGGCCTCGCTCGCCGAAGTGCCCCAGGGGCCCCTGCTGCTCGCGCTCTCGAGAGCCGCGCGAGGTCGGTGCTCAGCCCTCCCCCGGGACGAGGACAAATAGTTCAGCCACGTGTAGAGGGGGGGGGCGGGGGCAGGGCTTCTCAGAAGCACCCCAGTTTCTCAGAAGGCGCGGGCCTTATTCATTATATTCAAGGCGCACTTTTTTCTAACATGCCCCCCACTTCCCTCCACCCCATTGTGCCGCCAAATAGTACAGTCGGGCCGTTGAAGACAAATCCTTTTTCGTTGTGGAAGGGCCCGTGTTCCTTAAGTGTTTCACAGTTTGTCTCGGGTTAGCCTCGGGCTACCTTTTGGGAATCGAAGTTTGGCTCATGAGAAGAGTTGGCCTCGTTCATTGTGTACGGTTCCTTATGACATGTTTCGGATTGTGGCTAAGACATTTCCCAAGAAAGGCTTTCCCGCAGAGTCAGATTTGTGTCGTCCCGTGCATTTTTTTGCGTTTGGTCGTCCAGTGCATGTCTTTACTGCTGCACTGCAGGATTCGCGTGTTTCTCGGGGTTCACAAGGAGTTTCTGCTGGCGTGCATGGCCTTTGTGCAGCCTTCTCCCGGGAAAAGTGCAGTGCAGATCTTCTTGTGCGTGCCGCCCTCTTGTGCAGTGCAGTGCTTTGTTCGTGCCGCCGTCGGGTAACAATTATCTCGAGGTGTTTGGATGTCTTGGTGTAGCGTGTCCGGGCTTAAGGGGGCCTTTGAGGTGCAGCACCACGCAAGGGGTCCATCCTGGCCGCTGCTGGCCGTGGCGGCGAGGGCCCCCCCCAGAAACGCTACCAGAAGCCTCCGAAACGAAGGCGTTCTCGACGACGTCGTCGTCGTCTTCTTCCTTATAACCGTCCTTGTCGTCTTTGCCGTCCTCGTCGTCGTCGCCGTCGTCGTCGTCCCCGTTGTCGCCGTCGCCGTTGCCGTCGCCGTCGCCGCTGCAGCCGCCGCCGCCGCCGCCGCCGCCGTCGTCGTCGTCGTCGTCGCCGTCGCCGTCGTTGTCGTCGTCGTCGCCGCCGCCGCCGCCGTCTTTCAAGCTGTGGCCAGGTGTCTCGGCTTACCCAACAGGCCCACCAAGGAATATTATAAGAACCTTCTTTGGCTTGCACGAAATGTTCTTAGAACATTTCTGGTTGAGACGGTATTGTTTCAACGCAGTGGGATTATTTTCTAAGAGCCCCTGTTTTTGTTCTTAGGACAGCCACTGAATCTAAGAACATGTCGTGGTAGGCCTATGGGAATGCAGGGACGGTCGGTCACTGCTCAAGTCGTCGTTGTCGTCGTCGCCGCCGCCGCCGCCGCCGTCTTCGTCGTCGTCGCCGTCGCCGTCGCCGTCGCCGTCGCCGTCGCCGTCGCCGTCGTCGTGGCCGTCGTCGTCGTCGTCGTCGCCGTCGTCGTCGTCGTCGTCGTCGTCGTCGTCCTCGTCGTCGTCGTCGCCGTCGCCATCGCCGTCGTCGCCGTCGCCATCGCCGTCGCCGTCGCTGTCGTCGTCGTCGTCGTCGTCCTCGTCGCCGTCGTCGTCGCCGTCGTCGGGCCGCCGGCCCACGGTGCCCAGCTCTCCCGAGAGCCCGACCGCGCTCGGGCGGCCGGCTGCCTGCCATGATCCTGCTGGACCCCCGCATCCGGGACTTCGTGCTGCTGCCGATGCGCGGAGGCCGGCGCCCTCTGGTCCGCTCCGCCCCCCCCCACCCCCTTGTAAGAGCGTTTCTAAAAAAAAAACAAAAAAATCTGGCAATTTTACTTGCATGGACGGGGGGGGTGGGGCTGAGCCTGAAGCAAGCCGCAAACGACTTGCACGTTCGGGGGGGCGCGGAAATCACGCAAGTCGAGAGGCACTTGCACGCTAGTATTCGCTCGAAATGGGGCGAGGGGGGGGGAGAGGGGGCGAACGCCATGCAAGTAAACTTGCCTGAGTCCCAAAAAAACAGGCTCTAAAACGACGCGAAGATCGGGACAAAATCGGATCGGGAGAATTCGAAATCCCTGAGAGTCGGCGGGTTTGGAGGATGTCTTGGGCGCCGCGGCCGCTCCAGAGCGTTCTGGAACGCTCTGAGAGAGCGCTCCGGAACGCTCTGGAGCGATTTATCCCGATCCTGGCCCTGTTTTACCCTCGGGTCATTCGCTAGTTTTCGCCTTCGGGTCGGGGGCCCAGAGATGGCACCAGCACCAATGTCGGCGGTGCGCCTCCACCGAGGGGAGATGACACCGATCATCGGTGGTGGTGGTGCTGTTCGGGCTTCCGGGGTGGCCGCAAGATGCCCACCAGCACCGAAATCGAGGATCGTCTTCCCCCTGTGGAGGCAAACCCCCTCCTCCTCCTCCTCCTCCTCCTCCTCCTCCTCTTCCTCCTCCTCCTCCTCCTCCTCCTCCTCCTCCTCCTCCTCCTCCTCCTCCTCCTCCCTGTTTTTTGTTGGTGCCCATTCCCGAGCTTGCAATATGGGGGCCCTTGCCGGCCCTCGGGGCCGCCAACCGAAGGGATTCAGGACGTGGAGCCCGTCCCGGGAGAACGGGTCCAGCTCGCGGGGGGCCCGCGCCGTGACAAGGTCACGCCGTCGGGGGTCTGGAAAGAGAGTATCCCTTCGCCGGAGGGACCTCCGGTTCGGGCCCGCAGGGGCCCCCCCTGTCGCCCGAGCGCGAGGCAGCAGCAGCGCCTTGCCCGCTCGTGTGCCGCGGGGGGCCACGTGCGAGCCCTGCCCCTGCCCCCCACGACTCCCGAGGGGTGGGTTGGGGTTCACTTCGCTCGGGATCCCCCCCCCGCGGCCCCCCGCGAGCCGCGCACCAGAGGTCACCCTTGCCCAGGGTCGCTCTGGCGTGTAGCCGCCCCTCCCGGGTGCCAGAGGCGAGGGCCGAAGGGCAGAGGAGGAACACAATTATTCGGCGGCGAGCCCAGAAGGGGGGGGAGGAAGTGCGAAGGGGCGGGCCTTCTCCGAAGGCCGGGAAGGCCTCGGGCCTTCCGAGAAGCATTCGGAGCTTCGACCCGAAGACAGAGAATATTGCTCAGAAGGCGCGAGGGCTTCTGAGAAGCCCCGCCGCCTTCTGAGAAGGCCTTCTTCTCACTTCCTCCTGGGCGCGCCGCAGAAAGACACCGATGCCGCTGCTCATCCTGGAGAGTCCCCGTCACCACGCTGGAGGAGAAGGACGAGGAGGAGTTGGAGGAGAAGGAGGAGGAGGAGGAGGAGGAGGAGGAGGAGGAGGAGGAGGAGCTGGAGGAGGAGGAGGAGGAGGAGGAGGAGGAGCTGGAGGAGGAGGAGGAGAAGGAGGAGGAGGAGGAGGAGGAGGAGGAAGGAGGAGGAGGAGGAGGAGGAGGAGGGAGGAGGAGAGAGGGAATGAGGAGCCAAGAGGAGAAGGGAGGAGGGAGGTGGAGGCGGGAGAAGGGAGGAGGGAGGATGGAGGCGGGAGGATGGAGGAGGGGGAGGGAGGAGGAGGAGGTGGAGGAGGGGCAGAAGGACGACGAGGAGGAGGAGGAGGAGGAGGAGGAGGAGGAGGAAGAAGAGGAGGAAGACGAAGAGGAGGTGGAGGAGGAGGTGGAGGAGGAGAAGGAGGAAGAGGAGGAGGAGGAGGAGGAGGAGGAGGAGGAGGAGGAGGACTAGGAGGGGAGAGCTTCTTGAGGTCCTCTCGTGGCCTCCTGGCAGCCTTCTGGGAGCCTCCTGGGGGTCCCCTTGAGGGCCTCTTGGGGCCTCTTGGGGCGTCTTGGGCTGTCCGAGAGAGGTGATTGGCTGTCTGACGCCTTCGGAGGCCGTCTTGGGGGCCCCTCTGGGCCGTCTTGGTGCCCCCTTGGGGCGCTTCAGGACCGTCTTGGGGCCCTCTTGGAAGCCTTTTCGGAGATTTTGGGGTCCTCTTGGGCCGACTCGGGGCCCTCTCGGTGGCCCCATGGGCTGTCTTGTAGATACCTTGGAGGCCCCTTGGGCTATCTTGGGCGGTCGGATACCCAAGCTGGCCCTCGGGCTCTCCTGGACGGCCTCTTGTAGCCTTCTTAGGCCGTTTTGGGGGCCTCGTGGGCCGTCTTGAGGCTGTCTTGAGAGCTTTTTGAGCCGTCTTGTGCCATCTTGAGGAGGGTGGGTGTCGTCTCGGCTGTCTCGGAGGCCATCTTGGCCGTCTGGAGGCCGACCAGCTCGCCTGGAAGCAGTTTCAGGGGGGGGGGGCGATCTCAGGACCACGCGTGCGGCAACGGGGAGGGTCGGCCTTACAAAACTAAAGGAACCTCCCAGGCAGCAGCACGTATTATAACACTTCCATTGGGCACACGGCCCCGTGGCGGATTCTGTTGATGATGATGATGATGATGTTGCTGCTGATGATGATGATGATGCTGATGATGATGATGATGATGACGATGACGATGACGATGACGATGATGATGATGATGATGATGATGATGATGGTGATGATGATGATGATGATGATGATGATGATGATGATGATGATGATGATGGTCACGATGGATGGTGATGGGGATGGTGATGGTGATGGCGATGGTGATGGCGATGGTGATGGTGATGGTGATTGTGATGATGATGCTGCTGATGTTGCTGATGAGGATGATGCTGATTCTGAGGATGAGTATACTGATGGTGATGATGATGATGATGATGAGGATGTGGGTGGTGATCCTGCTGCTGTTGATGATGACGACGACGGTGATGCAGATGTTGCTGCCGATGAGGTTTATGCACATGTTGATGCTGATGATGACGATGATTATGTTGACTGTGGGATTGATGGTGATGCTGATGCTGATGATGCTAGCGACGAAGATGATGATGTTGCTGATGCGGATGCTGGTGCGGCTGTTGCTGCCGAGGACGATGATTTTGATGCTGATGATGCTGATGATGGCGATGATGGCGATGATGACGCTGATGCTGAAGATGATGATGATGCTGCTGTTGATGCTGATGATGGCGATAGTGATGATGACGACGAGTATGATGCTGCTGCTGATGATGGTGATAATGGTGATTATGCTGATGATCGTGATGATGCTGATGATGATTGTGATGCTGAGGATGACGATGCTGATGATTCTGATGCTGATGATGCTGCTGATGATTCGTTATGATAAATGAGGGTGATGGTGATGATGAATTTGATGGTGATGTTGATGATGATGACGATGATGATGCTGATGATGGTGATGCTGATGATGCTGATAATGAAGATATGATGATGATGATGATGAGGATGATGATGATGATGATGATGATGATGATCATGATGATGATGATGATGTTGATGGCGATGCTGCTGCTGATGATGATGGTGGCGATGGTGATGATGATACTGATGATGATACTGGTGATGATGGTGATGATGCTGCTGCTGCTGCTGCTGCTGCTGATGATGATGATGATGATGATGATGATGATGATATTGTTTGTTTTATTGATTGGTTAATGAGGAGGAGGAGGTGGAGGAAGAGGAGCAGGAGGAGCAGGATGAGCAGGAGGAGCAATTCTTTTTGACATTTCTGGCCCTTGATGGGCCTCTAAAGACGTCTGGGGTGGGGGAAGGATTTCCTCCTCCTCTTCCTCATTCACGCGTCCCCCTCTTTCCCCCCTCCCGCTCTCAGGAGGAGGAGGAGGAGGAGGAGGAGGAGGAGGAGGAGGAGGAGGAGGAGGAGGAGGAGGAGGAGGAGGAGCATCAGGAGGGCGGAGGAGGAGGAGGTGGGAGGCTAGGGAGGAGTGGGGACTAGAAATCCAACCCAGAACGCGCCCCAGGAGGGCCCTGGGGCCCGATCTGCAAGCCAAGAGAGTGAGATACATCCGACCTCCCCGCGCAGCGAGTAAGCGACGACCTGACGTGCCTTTCGCCAGCTCGGACTGGCTGTTGGGGGGGTGATAGATGGGAGAGTGAAGAGAGGTTCGCCTTGTGTGCCCTGAATGGGGCACCACAGTGGCCCCACCGGGGCCAAGCAGGGCTGGACCGAAACGCTGTTTTGCTGGACTTCGGCTGTGTTTTGTTTTTCGCTTTGGCAGGGGGGAACAGGAGCACAGGTCGAGCAGCACGGAGAACAAACCCACCACAGACCGACGAGCAACGCTCAGGCCCAGCCATGGGGCTAAAAACGAGGGCGGAAGGGGCACGTGTTTCCCCCTCGGTTTGTCGCCCCCCCCCCCCAGTACAGTTGGGGCCCTGAAGAAGGGACCCTTTTCGTTGGGGAGGGGCTCCGTGTTCCTTCATTGTTTCGCAGCCTGCCCTAGATTTTCCTGAGGTTTTCGATGCGGAATCGACCTTTCACTGATGGGAAGAAGGGGCCTCGTTCCTTATTTAGGGTTCCTTAGGTCAACGCCTCGACTGTAAGCAACGACCGATCCCTGACCTCCAGGGTGCCGCCCTTCGGGCCCCGGGGCCAGGCAGAGGCCCGGGGAAGGAAGGGCGGGGCTCCCGGGGGGGACGGGGGCGACGGCTCCGGGGGACCCCTCCGTGAAACCGAAGACACGCACAGGTGCGCCTCGGGGGCGGCCAAGAGGGGGGGGACGACTAGGGGGGGGTAGATATCATGGCGTGGGCCACGATGCCCACACCTCCGGCGTATTGAAAAAATCAAGACGGAGGTTTTTCTCAATGTTTGGCCTCTAGCAGCCCTCGCCGGGCTCTGGGACCGTCAACAAAAACGACTCAGGATGAAAACCCGGTCTTGGGGAATGGGTCGAGACTTCCGGGGACCCCGTATTGAACAAATCGCGACATCGGATCTTTGGATATCATGGCGTGGGCCATGATATCTCCCCAGATTTCATGGCGCCTCCTCTTATTTCATTACGTCCTTGGCCCCCCCCCTTGGGCCGCGCACTTGCCGCCAGCCATGATTTGCGCCCCCCCCTCCTGGGCGCCCCTCCCTTGGCCGCCCCCGACCGACGCCGGAGGTTTGGGTCAGACGCGTCGTGTAGCACCCCGCCCCAGCGTGGGGGGGCCAGCGGGTCTTCTTTGTGGTGGTTCTGATGTCTGCCCTGCGCTCGAGCCTCATGTCCATCTTCAAGACGGAGAACAAGGTCGACCTGAAGGAGGTGAAGACCAACCAGATGCTGACCCGCTGCAGGATGCTCAAGGTGCACGCCAACATGCTGAGGGACCAGGCGTACAAGTCCAGGAGAGCGTACTTCATCAAGAAGGACCAGGGCGTGCTCGTGAAGAATCCGCCCAAGACAAAGGACCCGATGGATGCGCTGCAGGCCGCCCAGGACCCGTCGATGATGATGGGGATGATGAAGAATCAGATGCTGTTCATGGTGTCGCAGGGCGTTCTCGGGTACTGGGTCTCGCACCAGTTCCACGGCTTCCTTGTCGCTAAGACGCCGTTCCCTCTGACCTTCCGTGTGAAGAACATGCTGCAGAGGGGCGTCGAGGTTGCGGCCCTGGAGGCAGGGTACGTCTCGGCGCTCTCTTGGTATTTCTTCGTGCAAATCAGCAGCTATCCCCTGATCGCGTTCATCCAGTCGCTTATAAATCGAGACGTCGAGGCCGAGGGTGACCCGATGTCGATGATGATGGGGGGCATGGGCGGAGGTGCTAGCCCCATGGGCGGCGGCCCCGACATGGCCAAAATCTACAAGCAGGAGTCCGAGGGCTTAGAGATCCTGAACTACGAGTTTGCCCTCGACAACATAGAGACGGAGCTCTGGCGCAAGTGGAGACAGGAGCGAGTCCGCTGAAATGCCCTGGTACTCTGCATAATCGCTGTCGCTCCATCGAACACGGTTGGCCGACAGGGCCGTGCAGAGCAGGCGG